CAGGGAGAGGTGACCGAGTGTCAACAACGGGGAGAGGTGACGGAGTGTCAACAACAGGGGAGAGGTGACGGAGTGTTACCAACGGGGAGAGGTGATGGAGTGTCACCAACGGGGAGAGGTGACGGTGTGTCACCAACAGGGAGAGGTGATGGAGTGTCACCAACAGGGGAGAGGTGATGGAGTGTCACCAACAGGGAGAGGTGACGGTGTGTCACCAACGGGGAGAGGTGATGGAGTGTCACCAACGGGGAGAGGTGACGGAGTGTCGCCAACAGGGGAGAGGTGACGGAGTGTCGCCAACAGGGGAGAGGTGACGGAGTGTCAACAACAGGGGAGAGGTGATGGAGTGTCACCAACGGGGAGAGGTGACGGAGTGTCGCCAACGGGGAGAGGTGATGGAGTGTCACCAACGGGGAGAGGTGACGGAGTGTCACCAACGGGGAGAGGTGAACATAAAACGCACAGGGGCAGAGGAGGGGAACAAGGAGAGAAGCAGTCTCTGAAGTCTCAAGCCCTGAGAGAAGAACCAGAACCCACGTGCTGACCAGAACACTGAGCCTCCGGAGACACAGACTGTGTGTGCTGCGTGAGTTTGTTAAATATCCTGTTTTCCCTAATCCTAGGAATCCTTCTGGATGTGTATCCTGGAGGCTCATTCAAGAATACAATCTGTAAGACTTTCTGTCCAACAACCAACTGGCTGGGGCTAAGAAGGCCTTGTGGAGGTTTGTTGAATCTCCACGGCTATACCTATTGAGCAGCTGGACCCTGGCAAGTCAGCCTGCAGAGGATCCTGCTTACAAGTTATTTTGGAAGCCAGATAAAGAGTCGGGTTCAATGACTCTGAAGTATGAAGACTGCTAATAGCATGTGTAACCACAGGAGGCTGTCAAAATGCCTCCGATAAGATTCCTGCTTCAGACAGGAAAACATAAACAGTCCCTTGGGTTTTAATGAGCATTGCCACGGTCTGAAAGCTCTTGCATTAAAGCTAAAAAGTCTTTGTCAAGACTGAAGGTCAGTAAGCTCACCCCAGAAACATTGTGCAGATTGTTAGGACAGACTGTGGTCGTTAGCGTCAATGAGCTGTCCTTGTAAATACGAAGAGAGATTTCTACAGTGTGGGCAGCAGTGCTTTCCTGTCACCTGAGAAGTACAGCCCACTGAAAATTAGTTTCCGAGTGAGAGGGCACAAGGGTCCATGTGTCCCTGTGAGTGCCCCAGTCAGTGGGTGTCAAGCCTCTGTGGCTTTGGACTTTGTGACTGAGGCATCCAGATGCCCAGTTCCCACCTCAAGCAAATAGAGCAGAGAATTTTTTTTTTTTTTTAACTTGAAGGGACGTTCAAGAACTCTCCATCTACCCCTCGCTCTAGGTACTGAGATGAAGAAACAGAGAGTGAAGGTCACTTGTCCACATTCACTGGGCTGGAATGAATAACCAACAACTCTAAGAGAAGGTTCTGGGGGCTCCCCTGGCCTCTGGGAACACCTCTTTCCCCACACAGAACAATGAGGCCTCAGGACGTAGAGCTGCTCAAGGGTCCCGTAAGTGAATCTTTGGGATATATGGTTATTCGAGGGATGTCGGCCCCTGGGATGTAGAGTTAACTTCTACTATTTACCCAAGAAAATCCTTTATAAGAGTAGTCATTTCACATAGTCACAATTAAAAATTCTCTCTGCACCAAAGCCCGAAAATAAATTGGGGGCATTTTCTCCACTCTGGGTCCTCTCCTCCGAGATGAATGTTTGAGATCTGGCTCTAGTTTGAAGAGTCCTTGGGGAAAAGCTATAAACCCACATTGTTGTTTCACACCATGAGACACAATGTAGCCTGTGCTTCACCTGGGGTAGCGACAACAATGCAGGTTGTATGTTTCCAGAATCTTCATCAACATGGAAGTTAAAGCTATCTCTTTAAACGCTAAAATGGGCTTTCTCCTGGAAACGCTGATGGCTGCTCACTTATGCCCTTCTTGCAATAAGTCTGTAAGACTTGGGCACTGCAATGGTTTAATCAATCTGAAAGCCATGTCAAAATTGCCTTAAAATTCTCTGAGCATTCAATATATGCACACTTGTTAAAATTAATTACATCATTTAACATTTCTATGCACATTATACTCTAAATGTTTTACAGTCATTTTTATTAATTAATAAAGCTTTAATGGACAAAAATTACACCATAAAATCATCATGCATATACTGCATTTTCCATTTTACTACTATTATCTTTGAATATAGTCTCCGAATGGAAAGCCACAAATTCACAAGCTAGAGGCGCTCACAGAAAGTAAAGTTGAAAATCAGAAATTTACAGAGAGAAAGAAGGAAATCTGGTCTCTTTCCTCCCCCAAAGGCCGACTTTCCTCTTCTGACTCCCTAAGAAAGGTGCAGGGTCCCCAGGGCAACCCACCTTTGGGAATCTGCCTGGCTGTGGAAACAGGAACAAATTTGGACCACGTTGTCCCAGAAGACACAGCCACACAGAGAGAAAATTGTGCTGCTGTTTGGCATGGAGAGTCCCCAACTTTCCTCAGCTAGAAAATGCCCTTTAATTACTACACACACACACACACCCTCCACTGTGGGACTTTGTGGTCTAGGATCTTATGATATTTATGAGGCTAACTCATAAATACCAACCATGTGATTGAAAAGTAAAAAGTGTAGAATTCTGAACACTTCCAAATATGCAGATGTTTGGCACCAGAATGATGAAACATCTGGGGGTGGCTGGCATTCTGTTCTTCTCATCTGCTGTGGAGAGCGATCCAGGCATAGTGTAAATTATCTTTCTCTGGGGCTGTCATTTCCTACTCATTACATATGGTCTGGTACAATGGGAAACAAAAAATTTGGGGGGAGGTCTCTAACCTATATAAGACTCACCTAAGAAAATCTACCCACTGGTACACTGGGCATACCTAAGACGTCTCACCTAAGAAAATTAGTGTATAGAAGTCTCACCTAAGAAAATCTACCCCCCAGATAACTACCACACTGAGCTATCTATCAGGTGCCAACTAGGAACAGAGCAGGTCATAGCAACTCTACTGAGAGATGCCCCCGGGACAGGTAGGAGGAGACCCACTTAGGCAGGGCATGTCCACCAACCTCCCCACTTTGGGTGGATGTGCCACTTACCTGCTGCGTAACTCCAGCCAGGAATGTGAATGGAGAGCTGGTTGGCACGACCACTGGGGTGACAGTGCTTCACTTGGTTCTCTGCCTGTTTACTCACAGTGACCTGGTTAGTTCCCACATCTGCAAACGCTGTGTTTTCCAGCAGAGGGGAGCCACTCCAAGGGCACGTGGCAGTTCCCAGATGCACTTGCCCCAGTGACGGGCCTCCTGTCAGTAAGTGGCTTTCCTGTACACCTGGGCTCCAGCGCCTGCCGAGGAGGCCCTGGCTCCCCTCCGAGAGCTCCTGCTTCAGGGCCCTGCCCATTGGCTCTCCATTCGCCAGGCCGTCTACCCCACCTGCTGTTAATCTGTGGGAACTACAATTGAGGGTGAGTGACAGGACAGATTTGCGCACTTGGGGGCCAGCAACCTGAGGCTGCTCCACGGGAACAGAGAGAGGCTTGTCTAAGTAGTAAGCTGAATTTGGACGCTGCCGAGACACCCTGAGATGGACACAGGAACTGAACATCAGTGGGCCCTTTTCCGACGGAGGGCCATCTGGAGAAAAGCTGGTCTCTTTGTCGTCCACATGGGTGACCCAGTACTCGTGTCCCTCACACAGCTGTGCATGGGCCTCAGGAACCTTCAGCCACACCATGGAGCTGTTTCTGGAGAACTCTGTGTGCCGCCGTGGATGGGCACTCTCAGCCACAGCCGGGGGGTCCTGCAGCAGGGTGTCCTGGGCCCTGCACTTGGGACACAGTGGGCTCCCAACGGTCCCCCACACCAGGGTGCTGGCTGGGGGCCCCACACGCCTGGCTGTGATGGTGATGGATGCAAACCCTTTTTGGGGACCACTGCAGAGCTTCTCCTCTTTGGGTGGCAGTTCTCTCTCAGGTCCTCGCTCATCTGAAGGTGTCGGGATTCCTAATCTGCCCGGAAGTAACGCGAACACCCTGCGGATGTTGACGCCACCGCGGTTGGCCAGAGATGGCTTCAGGCAACGTGCAGGAGGCCGCGTGGCCATGCACGGAAGGGGCAACATGGCCCCATTGTCTCTTGATTTATTCTCATCAATTAGCTGGGAAATGAGAAGGGACGAGATCATCTTACTGTTTGGCGATGCCAGAGTCTCCTGCAAATGGAAAAGGACCCAGATTATTCAAGCTGTCTACTGGAAAGTGGGCAGTCAACTGCCTTGTGAGGGTCACTGGGGCACCAAGGAACTTGGTCATGACAGTCAGATGTTCTTGTCCAAGGCATTTTACTGTACACCTGATGCCACCACTGAGGGAGATGGCCCTTCCCAGAAGGGCGGGAAACCCAGATCTGTTCATGAAAAGTTACATGTTCTGGAAATACCAGGCTGCCCAATGAATGGGTTTTCTCCACTGAGTGTCTTTTCTTAGTTTATTTAATGATGTGCCCCAAAGAATTATCTATTATAGTTCTAATAATCACTGCCACCAAGCCCCAGAGCCCCCAAATATAGGTTCACAGCCTTAATGGGGAGAAAAGACGTAATTCTAAAGGTGAGCTAGACTTGGGGTACAGGTTTATACCAGAGAAGTGTCAGCCCTGCTGTGAGGAAACAGCAAATGTGATTACAGGGAGCCTCTCCCTGCCCGAGCCCCCCTTGAAGTCCTCCACCTTTGCTGGTTTAGACTCTGATTCAGTCATTCCCTGACTGCCAGTTGGTCCACCCAGGATGTGCAGAATCACATCCATGGTCCATGGGTTGGACCATCCTGGCTGGTTTAGACTCTGATTCAGTCACTCCCTGCTGCTTGGCATCACAGGAATTCAAGTCCGGAGAGCAAAACTATGGAGATCAAGAGCCCAAGCCTGCAAACTTGCCCAGACAAAACATGACTATAAGAGGGTTTCATTCATTAGAATGGGGTTGGGATCAGAGCAAGACAGATGAATTTTGCTGTTTCTGTGACCAGTCACATCAGTGTGGGCTTCTGTCCAGTATTTTAAATGACTGAGATGTTTTATTCTTTCTAATTGGTAGATTGTCTGTCCTAGCAGGAGATGGTAGTGTGTCCAAAAGAGTGTTATGATTTTTAATAAAGTATCTAATCAGGTCAAGACTGGGAAAGAAGAATCCTTTCTGTCCTCATTTTGTGTAATTATGTTTACATATAAAGCACTGCAGAAAATGACACAGAAAACTGACTACGCCCCAGCACTTAGTGAATGCTGATGAGGTCCGGAGCCCCCACATACTTAAAAGGAACGCTCACACGGGACCACATGGGGTCCACGCTCAGGCCGGAGCTCTACGAGCCACTACGCCCTGCTGCTTACAAAGAGTCTTTGCTTTGGACGCCTGGACACCTAACTGGGGTGCTCAGCACCTACAGCAGCAGCTCTCAAACCCCAGCAAGCATGGGAATCTCCCAGGACACTGCAACTGCAGGCTTCTTAGGTCCAGAGATTTTGATTCTGCGCATCCTGGGTGGGGCCCAGACATCTGCATTTCAACCTGAATCCTGGTGATTCTGATGTAGGTGGTGGGGTAGCACACTTTGAGAAACAGATGGAGTCATGAGGTCACTGGTTTTCTTAAGAAAATACTTCCTGAAGGGAAAGGGCCCGTGTACCTTGGGAGCAGGGTATACACTTTTCCTGAGATGATAAGCAAACACAGTGGTATTTTTCTTTTCTTTAGGGCTGGGATTAATATTCATTTACTCAAATAACTAAATGTCACACCTGACACTGTGAGTCCACTTGGTGTAGGAGGACCAGTGTGTGTGATCTTAGCGATCAGAGGGCTTCGTGTCCTTACTGGCAGGCAGGGGAAGATGGCTGGGTTTGTTTTCCATGACAACTTCATCATCTTAGATGTGGTTTTTTATTTTATTTATGTATTTATAATTGTTTGCAGTTTTTGGCCAGGCTGGGTTTGAACCCGCCACCGCTGGCATATGGGGCTGGTGCCCTACTCCTTTGAGCCACAGGTGCTGCCCCCAAATGTGGTTATTTTTTAAAAGATATGTGGGAAGTTGCCAATTCCAAAGATAACAGGAGATGAACCAAGAAGAAGAAATGGATAGGAGAGTCATTTTAAAATTTATATCATTTTTTTAAAAACTCAAAATATCCCTGGTTACATTTTTTCCAAAAAACAGACAGTCAATACAGCAGCACTGAGTCAAGGTTAGGGACACCAGCCTCCCCTTTCAGCTGAAGTCCCTCCTCACCCTGCAGCCCATTCTGGGCATGGTTTCTGGAGCCCAGGCTCTGTGGGGAGCCTGTTGGAGGAAGGGCCTCCTGCTGGGGGTCTCAGCCACCTGGGAGCTCATCCAAACCCCAACACCCAGGCCTCACCCCCAAGCAGTTAAAGCAGCGTCCCTGGCAAGGAGACCCAGGCATCTGTGTATTTTAAAGCAGGCGGCCGTGCTGCTGTGGCACCTCCCTCCCCTCCCCTACGGCATTTGTCACCAAGGTGCACCTGGCGCCTTTTTCACTCGTCCATCCTATTTTAGTTAAATTTAGTTCCCATAATAATTGTTCCTACCCACCCCTCAGGTGCATAGTCACACCTGGTAGGAACTCCTCTGACACTGATCTTTGAAGGGAAAACAAATACCCATCCTGGAGACTGCAGGACCGGTTTTATCTGACAGTGTGACATTTCCCACACGCAGCACCAGCGACTACCCACGTAGAAAACACCTGGAGGAGGGGTAAAAGGCAGATTTCTGGGCCGCCCCCGACCTCGGCTGCATCAGGATCTATGCAGATAAAGCTCAGAAGCTGTGTTCTTAACCAGCTCCCAGGGATTGATCCACATGGTCTGACAGAAAGGAGGCTGGGTGAGCACTGGGGTTCCTGGGGGCCCTGAGCCAGGGGTACCCACACTGGCTACAGGACCTTGGACAGGGCCTCAGCTTCCACAGCTGCAGAACCAGGAGAACACCAGGGTGATTCTGGTGGAAACTCCAGGCTTTCTCATATCATGGTCTCTGACATGAAGAGGGTGCTCCACCTCCAGGCTCAGGATCCCATGAGAGCTTTGGCCTTGGTATGAACAAGGGGTATCTTGCTAGGAATGGACAATGTCATCTCAGCTTGGAACACACCCGGACTCTGGCAGTGTCAGGGATGGGCTGAGATGGGGACTCATAGCCACAGCCAGGGCTGCAGGTGCTGAGGGAAGCCCGGGCTGCACTGGGGGAGTTCAGGTGTGGGCACAACTCCACAAGGACCCAGAAGGCCAAAGGAGAGGATAAGGAATCCGCCACCATCTCATCACCTGGGGCCTGGCAAGGGCGACTATGATTTTGCCTCTGTCAGATGCAAATGGATAAGGAAAGAGCAGTAACGAGTGGCATGAATGTGAATTATTTCTGAAGCCCTGGAATCACGCAGTGTGTCAGGGCAACACCATTCCTGGGAGCATGACTGCTGATGAACACTCCGTGCCAAAAAAAATATATCTGTCTTCTTTACCTCACAGGAAATATGTAGAGATAAAAAATGGTGCGGTACATGAAAGTGCCTCTCAAAATATGAGCCTGTGGCCTAACTGTGGGTCTTACTCTGCCTGTGACCCAGTAGAAGTCAGTAGATACTGATAGGATCAATAGAAGTCAGTGGATACTGATAGGATCAATAGAAGTCAGTGGATACTGATAGGATCAATAGAAGTCAGTGGATACTGA